AAGTTCAAGTAACAAAAAGTTGTCAGAGAGAGGAACAGCTAAACACAAGTGCAAACAGGAAGAACTAAAAATAAAATTATGGTGAAATTACCTGAGATTTATCTCCTCCAAGCACATTTACCATCACATCCATAACAGTTTCATGCATGCCTAAGACTCTCATTAAGTTAGGATGCTGATAAAACACCTTGTTATTCATTATATCCCTAAATGGAAGAAAAGGCAACAATATGTTCTTAAGAAAGAGCATTTTCATTTAAATCAATGATACATTATCAGACATTTTAGAAATATGAACACATTGTAGAGCCAGTATTTTAAATTCTGAAATCTCACAGCACCAAAATACAGCTGCTTAACAAAAGTCATTTCATAGCAGAAACAGAGAGAAAAAGAGTTCTCACCTAGGACAATTTCTTAAAAATCTAATGCTATAAGGGATAACATCATCAGTATTTTGTGTTCAAATACTTAGGTTTCTACTGATATGCCACGCTAAATACTGTCTGAAATATTTCAGATCACATTACAGCTTCAGTGTTTCCAACTAACTTCTTGTACAACGTTACCTATTACAAAGGTACCAGCAAATCGGTTCACTTACACATGAAATACCAAAGCAAGACTTAAGTTTTATTGGTATTTGGTATTTTATTTGTATTATTGGTATCAATATAGACTGAAGTCATCTATTTTCTGCAAAGTTGCTAGAACAGGTACATTTGATGAAGCTCTGGCAAACACCCCAAAATCCTTCATTAGACTTGAATATAGTGAAAAGAGTTTGGGTGCTTTATGTCAGAAAAAGTTCCAGGTTCACTGAAACATTTATGATGCATTTGATATAGGTAGAGGGAATCATCTTGGAAATCTTTGTGAAGCCATGTTGGAAATTTCTGTGAAAATGGGACTTATCTCTGAGAAACTAAAATGAAATTATTAGACAGTAAATGCATTTCACTGCAGTAATTTTCATCCGTGCTCTAAAATGAAAGGTTTTAGTAATGTAGCACAATACTTTACTCAAACTTCAAAGAAAAAGTTTAATTCCATACCCTAATCCGTTAATCATTAGCAATTCCTCCTCTTTCCCCATTCTGACACTGAGAAGTGAGCGAATCTGTCCGAGTGCTGCCAGCAGGTTAATGGTATCCTCCACAGAGACAGCACTAATAGTGTAGGCCTTCCTCAGAGCCTGCAGGAGCTCTCCAATGCTGTCATACTGCCTACGGAGCAGGGTGTACATGATCCGAACTAATTCTGGGTCTTGAATCTGGTCTTCCTGGGACCAGCGCACCATAGTCTGGGAAATGAGTTCTTTCAGCGTAGCTAAAATAAAAAGGTGTGTAAAATGTTACTAGATATGACAACCACAAAATGTCAAAAAATATTTATTGGTGTGAACTGATGACAGCAAAC